GTAATATACACGAATAAATACGGTATATGATTTAATTTTTTTTGAATTGCTGTTCTTTTTAGCACCTTCATTGAATCTSTCACATTTCCTGAGCAAATATTTAGTCTTTTATTCTTCGTCCGCATACATAAAACATTATACAGTAACTTTTAATGAACTCTGGAGGATATGTAAATGTACTACAACAGTATAGTAATAAAACACAAGAAGTCAAAAAGTATATGATACATTTTGAAATACAAATACCACAAGTGGAAATAAAAAAAACAACAACTGACTTATACACACCTTAATCACCTATTTGTACAGTTTGCTTTGCAGCTTGTGCTTTGTTCCAGTGTGACTGGATTGACCAAATTTATGTCCGTTACTGTTGAGATAAATAACACTATCAGTCTCTGAAAAAAAAATATTACAAGGACATTTAAAAGTTAAGCTAAGTAAAAGCACACAAGCTATTTTCCCCCTCATATACAGAATGCTTTATATAAAAAGTGCAACGTAGTGATATACATTTAGCTGTTTATAAAGTACTAGGTCCTCTTTTTCTGTAATAAAGCTGTAATGAAGTTGTAATGAAGTTGTAATGAAGCTGTAATGAAGTTGTAATGAAGTTGTAATAAAGCTGTAATGAAGTTGTAGTGGTGTCTTTTTGAGCTTGCAGGCAAAAAGTCTGTTTTTAAATGAGCAGCAGCAGCAGGATGCAGAGCTGCAACTCTCGTCTTCTCCCGGAGTTACCACTTCCCAGGGATGGGAACGCCGCATTCATACCAGCCTACGAACTGATGGGCTGTGCGGCGGCCAATAACCCCAAATGTAACGGGCTCCTGTCTGAAGGCACGATAATATCCTGCAACACACACAAAAAAAAAAATATTTAAGTACACACACACACACACAAAAAAAAAAATATTTAAGTGTATTTAGTACATAGCAAAAATCCACTGCTGATGAAAAATAGGATTGGGATAACAATAATTTTCATTTTTTGGCTTTAAAATGTTCTTTAAAAAGTAATTGGATGCCAACAAATGCTTTCTGRGAGCACATAGGCAAGCATATTCAGATCTATGTTTTGAAATTCTATTAAAAACTGCTTTAACTGCCCCAAAATGAACAAACATAATCTAAAATACCAAAACACTGAATGTGCACCAAGATTCTGCACAAATTCTTCTGCACAAATTTGATGACATAGACCACTTTTTAATATGTAACAAAACCAAGAAGACAAAGATTATAAAGAAATGATGATAGAAATGATGTTGCTTTGGTAATTTTGTCTCTTCTGCTGCCGCATATTTAGAATTTCAGGCCGCTTTTGGACAAAATATCAAAATAATTGTCTTTAAACATTATGCCTTTTTTCATAAATTGACTAGTCAAGTTGTTTGGAATAATTAAAAAAACAATTTGATCTAAAGTCAGTTGCTACCAGGCAGTTAGATTAGTAGTTTTATTGAATTTATTTGGGAAAAAACAGGCATAAAAAGACKGGAAGATTAGAAAAACCTGTACATTTCTTTCTTATAACATTATACTGCTTTTATTTACCGTCCATAGAACTATTAGGAGGCAGAAAGAATAAAAAAAAGATATGAAGTTGCARTTTACAATGCAAGCTGTAATCTCATATTTTTACCTTGTGCTGAGGGGAGATTAAATGAGTAATCAACCGGGCCCGTTCTTCCATCCCTGTAGGAGTCCACAAACTGACAATGGTCTTCTCCCTGTCCAAGTGTGTCTCCTATACTGTAAAAAGGTTCTGTAGAAGAAGCAGKAGAATATTGYTGACCATGTTTACGTCCAAAAAAAGTCTAATTCTTTAATTCTTCTGATGTGACATGACACCTCTTAGTCCGTCTCCCATGAAGATCTTATATCGTAGAGAATTACACAGAACCACGCCCACAAACTTCCTGTACCATGTTCTCTTGACGTACTGACTGCCTTTGCAGCTGCTGTGGATCGGGTTGTACTTGAAGGTGAAAGGGATCCAGATYGGTTCTCCACCTGAGTAAACAGGGAAAGAAAAGGAGAAGTGTGGAATTTTCAGATTTTCAGGATGGTTATTATGGCGCGGTACCATATGAGGGCCAAAATTAAGACTATTACTGTATATCTATTCCTAAGCCAGCTATTGATCTGATTATTGATAGGCTGGCAATGGTAACTGAGAGGCCAGTCCTGGCTAATGAGAAGGAGGCTATTCATTTGTGTTAACACTGGAGAGGCTAGCGACTAGCTTGGATAAGCTGGTGTTAGCATTGGAGAGGTTAGCGACTAGCATGGATAAGCTGGTGTTAGCATTGGAGAGGTTAGCGACTAGCATGGATAAGCTGGTGTTAGCATTGGAGAGGTTAGCGACTAGCATGGATAAGCTGGCGTTAACACTGGAGAGGCTAGCGACTAGCATGGATAAGCTGGCGTTAACACTGGAGAGGCTATCGACTAGCATGGATAAGCTGGCGTTAGCATTGGAGAGGTAGCAACTAGCATGGATAAACTAGCGTTAGTATTGGAGAGGCTAGCGACTAGCATGGATAAGCTGGCGTTAGTATTGGAGAGGCTATAGCATGGGTAAGCTGGCGTTAGCACTGGAGAGGCTAGCGACTAGCATGGATAAGCTGGCGTTAGCATTGGAAAGGCTAGAAACTAGCATGGATATTCTGGCGTTTGCATTGGAGAGGCTAGCGACTAGCATGGATAAGCTGGCGTTAGCATTGGATAGGCTAGCGACTAGCATGGATAAGCTGGCGTTTGCATTGGAGAGGCTAGCGACTAGCATGGATAAACTGGTGTTAGCATTGGAGAGGCTAGCAACTACTTTTGAGTAAAGAAAACTTTCTCTATAAAGATGTAGCAGCCACTGGTTGTGCAATAGTCTCGTAAGCATAAAAATAAATTATTAAAACATTATGAGTTAAGGGGTAATAGGGCCAGACTACAAGATTCTTTAAAATATTACAAGAATAAAGTCAATATTACTCGACACATCCATTTTCCATTCCTGGGTAGGTTCGCGCATGCTGAGGACGGCTTCCAATATGTGTCACTGTGTTTATAGTCTGATTACTCTTGGGTCATTGTTAGCATAATATGCTTCCATCCACATTATGTGACAACAAAATCAGTCAATGCAGCCTTTAAATGCAATGCCATGTGTCTTAAATCCATAGTTAAATAACACTGATACTAAAGAGATCAATATTCCTTATTTTAACACAGATTTTTTTTGTGTGTAGCAGTTCTAATATTCTGACTTTATTCTCGAAAAATTCTGACTTTATTCTTGTATTATTACAATTTTGTATTTAAAAACGTCTTTTTTTCATTGTCTGTCCCTAATACGTCATCMCAATTGGAAGGACCCCAAGTCTTACTGGCTTTCTTTGTTGTTGCACAAATGCACATATTGTTTGTACAAAAACAAAGTATTTCGCAATAACATTTTTTTAAATAAGCTAAAACCTTGCTAGTCWTTTTTTTCATAACAAAACATTACAAAGATTGTCCGAATGTTTAAATATTTGAAGTTTATCTAAGTTTTTGTGTAGGTTGAATGTTCTGCTCGTACAATTTAACAAAAAACAAAGGAAAAACAATGACAGTCCATCTTAAGTTTGCTCCAAAACTGTTTTTGTTTTAAGAATGATAGCTTCCTCTTTAAAACTTTAGTGCAGCTTTAATGTGATGTATAGTGTTGCTTGGTGACCTTAAATGAGGAATGTGAACAGACTTACCAGGTGGCCTTTCAATCAGAAATGGATCATCTGAAAGAAGAAAAATGACCGTTTTTTAAAAACTAAAAGGACAATACTGCAAACTTTAAACATTTACTTGGTCACGGGAATTAAATAGCAAAATAATACATAATACAGTGTGCATAAATGATGGAAATACAGAGATTTTAATTCTAATTAAAATGTTTTTTCAACGTAAACATCTGTATCCATACCTGACTCAGTTACATAGGTGAGTGTTTCACTGAATGGTCCCAAACCGAACACATTCTTGGCCTGCACTTTAAAGTAGTACCTACATTAAAACAGATCACAGGGCAAGATTTTAATGGGCGATTTACTGGTTCAAGTGTTATTCTGCCAATGTCGTCATGGCTGAAAGATAATGAGCACAGCAGATGGCTTGGCACGCTTTTGGGAGTCTGATTYAAAAAAAAGTTTGGGTTGTTTATTATCTGAGCATTTGCTCTATTATAAAATATTTATCTAAAAATGTATAAGAAAGTAGGAGTTGAAAAAATAAAACTGATTTAAAGAAAATAAAAAA